TCTGACCCTGAACACACAGATATCTATGGGATTAAAGGCGTGTGCCACCACCGCCACACTCTTGCTATGGCTCTAATAGCTCTGACCCCCAGACAACTTTATTTATTAACATACAATCAAATTAATATTTCAGTACAAATCAAAATAATATTTCAATACAATTAGATTACCACCACAATTTACAACTTAGATTTTGGGACTGAAACAGTTGAAGCTTGATGGGCATGCCAGCTCCGAAGGCAGGAATGGTGATATAGCCCTGAAATCACAACAATAGAATACCTAAAACACGCTGAAACAAGGGCATTAAGAGTTCAAGGCTAGCAAAGTGAGACCCTGCCTTAGAAGCCCAAGAACAAAAACAAACAATAGCCACAATAATGAAGTAAAAGCAAGAAATTCCAGCTCTGTCACTTTATATATGTGTGTCCTAGGGCAAAATAATTAACCTCTGTGTACCATAAATACCTATTTTTCAAAATGGCTCATGATAACCTTTATACTATAGGAGCAAGGGACGGTTAGTTTAAAAATGAAGTAATTCAAGGAAAAAGTAATGTGCTAGATGTGGTGGCTGATGTCTTTAATCCTAGGTCTTAGAAGGTTGAGGCAGGAGGACAGAACCATGCAGACCAGCCTGTGCGATATATCAAGACTCTGTCTTGAAATAAATAAGTAATAAATAAATAAGAAAGAAAAGAAAATACTTGCTAGTTCTTTATAACTGAAACTCTATCCTCTCCAGAAAATTCACTTACATTCTTATTTTTGTTTCTGTTTTGTCTCCTAGTTTAGAAGATTCTGTCCACATTTAGTGGCCCCACTGCTGTGGACAAGCAAGCACCTTGTGGTGGTGTGCATGTTGGAGTGAAGGCCACCAAAGAGAAGGAAAGGAAAGAAGTGGCTGTAGTCTCCTCATTGCCTTGACTGGCCTGTCTTTAATAACCTAAGGGGCTGCTAGTAAGTCCCACTTGTTGAAGTTTCTACCACCTCCTCGAAGTACCACGCTGGAGACAAAGATGATACAGGGTGGGCTACTAGGAAAACTGGATGTTTCCACATCCAAACACTATTAATCTCATATTTGTCTCCACAACTAACCAGCAAAAAGAAATGACAAATGTCTGAGATGATGAATGTATCCGTCACTATGATCTGATCCTTCACTATGATCTGATCCTTAGACGTTACATGCACATACTAGAGTGTGATACTGCTCTCCATGGATGTATAAATACTTACAACTAGTATCTCTCAGCTGAAACCTAAAGCATTTTTTACATATTTGCTACAATTACCTGTTTAACGTCTATGCTGATTTCCATATCTGCTAGACTACTTTATACTCTCACCAGCAATATAGAAGGATTCCCTTTTGTCCACATCCTTGTTATTTGTTATTATTAGTTTCTGAAGATTATCATTCCAACTTTGGGGAAATGGAATCTTAATGTAGCATTGGTTTACATTTCTCTGGTGGCTATTAAAGTCGAATAATTTTTCATATGAAAAATATTACCTGTTTAAGATTTCTTTTTCCGCCGGGCAGTGGTGGCGCACGCCTTTAATCCCAGCACTCGGGAGGCAGAGCCAGGCGGATCTCTGTGAGTTCGAGGCCAGCCTGGGCTACCAAGTGAGCTCCAGGAAAGGCGCAAAACTACGCAGAGAAACCCTGTCTCGAAAAACCAAAAAAAAAAAAAAAAACCAGCCTGGTCTACCAAGTGAGCTCCAGGAAAGGCGCAAAACTACGCAGAGAAACCCTGTCTCGAAAAACCAAAAAAAAAAAAAAAAAAAAAAAAAAGATTTCTTTTTCCTTCATGCAGCAATGGCTTTACTGACTTTTGCCTTCTTTTCTAGAATCCTGTGTTTGAATTTCAGAATTAAAAACTCACCACGTATTGACTCTAGTCCTTAAAAAAAAATAAGTTGGCTTTGGTCTCTTTGTTTCTCTTGGAGGGAGGAGGTGGCACACAATTATACAAGGAAGCAAATGAAGCTGGGATTTTCCTCTTTAAAATACAAATAAAGGCTACTAGAATTGATCTAGGAGAATTTAATTGAGTTGCAGGACCACAGCCACAATGCTGACTGTGAACATCATATAGAGAGTCTTCCCCTAAATCTGAGTCTGATGAGCTTGCCCCAGCACCCCTGTTCTCATCCCCACACAGCAGCAGTGGCCTTGCCTGACACTCAAGATCCACGGTCATAATCTAATGCTGCTTTTTCTATGGAAGATCCATCAACATTGCTATACCAGAGACTAATTAGTAGCTGTTGCAGACTTGACACAGAATATTAGCAGACTCCCCTGATTCCAGAAAATGGTGGCACATTTCTTCTTTAGTTGCTGATTGGAACAGATAGGGAGTTTCAGTACAAGCTGTTTAGTTAGAACTTATAGCATTTCGCAGATGTCAAGGATACACAACACACACACACACACACACACACACACACAAAGACACGAGAGAGAGAGAGAGAGAGAGAGAGAGAGAGAGAGAGAGAGAGAGAGAGAGAGAATCCTAACATTGTATTCTCAGTGACTGAGATGATTTCCCTAGAACAGAGATCTTGAGACATTAAAGAGGGAAGTTACTAGGTAAACAGGTCTTTTTGGAGGCACTCAAAAATATCTGAATTCTAAAAATTCCTTTCTTGTGTCTAATACTACAAATGAAAGCATTTAGTTATGTCTTTTGATGTAACCATAAGGATAAGACATTTGGGCTAAGGAGGTAAATGGACCGTACTTTCATCTTTCTACACCAGGAGAATGGGAAGGAACACACTCTGAATTCCTCAGCCCGTGTAACCGGAACCCCTCTTGCTTAGGCTGCATCTTGTTGGGAATCAGGTCCCTGCTAAATTGGATATGATTTGCCTTAACATGTCTATAACCTGATGTCAATGTGCCTGCTATCTGCTCTGGATAGCAGGTCACATTCTGGTGATCTTTTAACCTTTATTTGTTCTGTCTAGTTAATTATTTCTGGGTTGCTTAATGCCAAGACTGGCAGCCTTTCTTGTAAAAAAAATGACCTGGAGCAAGGCGTGAGAGGATTGCTTTCCTCCTGGGTGGAATGCACAGCTGCAGGAAACCTCACACTTATTTTTAATGTGGAAGTCAACATGGTTTATTGAATAATAACAGTTTGCCCCACGGCCTTGCATTAGCTAGCCTTAGTTTGTAAAAAGGAAACAATTCATGTTTCCAAACTTTAACCTTTGCCTAGACTTTCTGGAATCATTTCCTTTCCAAAGTCTTTGGGGGCTACAAAGATGGAGAAATGGGGATGTATTTCATCAACCATTTGCTGCATACAAACTTACTACGTTCAAGTAACTCTGGACATTTGCTTTTGTGTAAAATGGATGTATTCTTATAGAACTTATTGGTAGTTTTTGTTTCTGAAGAATTCACACAGAAGACATTCAAAGATTTTTAGATTGTTCATTATTGTTTTGGATTTGTTTCTATAGACAGCCAATGGACTACTACCACAGAGAAATCTAACATATAGATGTTTTGGTAGAAAGGGGATCTGGGGGGAGACTAGGGCCACCACAGGGACCTTTCTTTGTCTGCTGAACCCTGGGGCAACTTGTATGGCCTGTTCTTCCCTGCTCTTTGTCAGAGGGTTTGTAGAAAACAATTCAAAAGTTCTGGTATATACACTGTGATCGAACTAACTTGATGACTCATTTCTGTCCTAGGTTACAGGAACAGTCCATGGATGAAGTCAGATGAACCTGTACTAGGATATGCAAGCTGCGATAACGTAAATGAGAAAAAGGTGGTTCTGGAATACATCTGTTTCTAATGTTTGTCAGTTTTGTTTTGTTTGTTTGTTTTTTTAATGTGGTACATTGCAAACTAATGAAAAAATTGCTTCTACTTGGGGAGGGAGAATCAATGAGGGATGTTTATTACCATGACACAGGCTAAGGAACTCATTAGAGCAAGCTATTGCTCACACGCTATTCTTCTGAGATGCATTGCCTCCTTCTGCATCCATTCTTGTTTCTGCAGAAACTGATTTGTACTTGCAAAATAATAAATATTCATTTCCCATGGATTTTTAAAGGTGACTGATTTGTAAAAATCAATAACTGTCTTTTGCCAGCTCGCAGACTGACATGATTGCCTTCATTTTCAAACATAAAACGATTGCATTAAAATAACATTAAGAGAGAAACATCAGCTGACACAGGAAGAGAAATCCTTAAATGAAAACCGCTCCATCCAGTTTTAATCAGTTCCGATCATGCTTTTTATTATAGTGCAAATGGGCTCTATTAAAAGGAAAGCCAATTCCAGATGATGATACAAATAATTATAGCTGCCTTTAGCCTCTAGTTAGGGCTATTAACTAATGGTTTCAAAATATAAGATTTATTTTGGAAAGAACATTTTTTTCCTTTAATGATAAAATTGGAAATTGGGCTTTGTCTACCTAATGTCCTATATGTGGATAAAAATGAAAGTAGAAGCTGGTCTAGAGGAAAAGGCTTCAAAACACTGCAAGGATAAACTAAATTATTTCATGTGGATAAACTCAAATGGCATTAGTGCAGCATTATCAAAATGGTTTTGGTTCTATGTTCTATTACATGTTAGGAATTATGTATACTCTGCCCAGTTCATCCACTCTTTGGGATTCTAGTATATATCACCGTATTAAAGGGCCTGAGGTATTTTGCAATGATGATCTGTGCTATCATATTCTTCTTCCTTTTTTTTTTTTTTGTAGTACGTCTGAGCATGAAAATCTTTTTAAAGCATCAAGGTTAACAATAAATTTTAGTCTAAATATTTTTATTCAGATAGTATATGTGTTATTCATAATACTACAGTTAAGAAATTCTAAGTTTAAACATTAACAGTAATTTAGACATAAACCAAAGCTAACAAATATTTGTCTCTGAAAACACTGTCCATTTGAAAGACGTTTCTTGGCTTTCTTTTTTTTTCCTTCTTCTTGAAGTCAGATATGACTCACATGGTATATGCTCCATGCTGCCTTTCTTAGCATGGATGTGTACTTAACACCCTTTGCTTGTGCGTGCTTCTATGATTTTATAGGTCCCAGGAGTTTCCTCTTTTGGCCTTTATCTTGCAATGGCAGCTGTGGAAGAATGTTAGTCAGTTGTCCCTCCAAGGAAACACTTGCTTAGCTACGTGCACTACAGTCCGTAGACAACAGCAGCTGGTTCCCCTTAAAGATCTGCCTCAGATTTCAAACCAGGCCATGATTTTCCTGGGCATTGTCTGTTGATGTAGCCCTGTATGAGCAGGGGACCTGGCCACTGCTGCCTAGTGTGGAACTCCGCTTACAGGCAACTTTTGCTCTACAGCCCTCTATTGTGTTGACCAAGAGTTTTCACCTCTTCATCATGATCTAAATGCTTTCCCTACACAGCCCTGCTCCCTCTTCTCCACTTTATTCTTCAAGGAATTACCTCCAATAAACTCTCTGCACTCCTATCCATGATTTTGCTTCCAAAGATTCTGTGTACACTCCTATAAGATTCCAAGACAATCCCTGGCAGGACCAGGTCTCTACCATTGTTTTGTAGATATCTCTTACATAGGAGTTAAATAGTAAACACTCAATTTTCAGTACAACTTAGATTTTTTTTTTAAAAAAAAAGCATAAATATAGGTACAGATGCTAGTTGACTTAACATGAGTGACTCTCTGCTACTTGGATTGTGTGAAAGTGCATGCAGTACATAAATCATCAGAATATTCCTTGTGGGTGTTTTCAACACATCACTATGGCCCAAACTAGCCCTTACCCTTAGTTTTCAGAGAGTTTTTAGTCTGAATGATCCTGTTGGGGTAAAATTAGTTCCAAGACCAGATGGACTTCAGCCACTAGAATATTAGAGACCATCTGAAGGACTGGAAACTATTGGAAGTACTTTAAATAAAGAGGCAGATTTTGAGCATGATGTCATAGGAAGATTAGTCAAGTATCTGCATGCATAAGGAATGGCACAGAAACTGAATAAAGGTTCATAGAAGGAAACAATTACCACAGGCATGTCAAAGGAAACAATTACTGCAGACGTGGTTTCCCACCAACTTCAAGCTGATACTGACTGGTAACCAGAACACACCCAATGTCTTACACACACCTATATTTACACCAAAAAAAAAAAAAAAAAAAAAAACCAAAAACAAAAACATCTGAAGCATAGGTGCCTAGGATGAGAGGAGACAAACTCAGAGAGAAAAATATCTATCCAAGTTTCTTCAGTAAAAAATCAATAGAGAAGGAGTTCAACACAATGTATCTGACTCTGGAGCCTACAGCTCTCCTAGCATGTCAAACTGTATCCTGTGTGGACATAGGAATTCTTCTGAGGATAGAATTGCTTTCAGTGACTTGGTCTAAATCAAAAATGAAACTCTTCATCTGGACATCAGAACAGATAGGGAGAAAAAGACAAAGCATGGTTGGGTGGATAATAGGTGCACAGCTGAAGACAAAAACATGGTCAAGATGTTAAACAATCTTGAAAACTGAAGTCCATTCATATCGGGAGTGAAGCTATGGTGCTTGGAGAAAGCAAAAGATAGGTTACAAATTAAGTCCTGAATCTATGAGAACAAGGCAAAACCATACGTGAACGGAAATGCATAGATCAAGTTAAAACTACAGGGCAAGCCTCCTAGAACAAAGGTTGACACCAAAATCTGACCTACTGTTTCTGAAAATAAAACATGAAGGGAAAACAGACACATTCATTTATTTGCCGATAACCTGTAACTGCTTTCTTATTACAACAATAGAGTAAACCCATTTTCATCATTGGACATTTGGCACTCAGTGGCTGAAATATTTACAGACAATGCTTTCTGATTTGCTAGAAATGGCTCTTGGAGTTGGGCCTGGCATCACAGTTCTGAAGTAAAGGGTGCTAGATGTTTTCTGTAGACTCCGATAGTAAATGTTTTGGCTTTAGAACCATGGTGGCTTCGGCTAGACAGTCTTTGCTTCTTGTTTTCTTTTTTTCCCAAACATTTAAAAAAATGTAAACTACTCATAGCTCAGTAATATGAAACAGGATATAAGCTGGATTTGCCTTGTAAGGATCATTTACTGTCTCATGATCAAGAAAATCTTCTCGCCTTCATGTATTGATTCATATTAAACATAGAGCAGATATAGGTGTGTGCCTTCAAAGAGCCTAAAGACAGAAGTGCTTATAGTTTCTGATTAAATCTGATGCGGTAGATTAAGATATGTGGGGGAAATTTTCCCTTTACAAGCAAACCAAAAATCCTCTCTTATTTTACAGGCTATAGTCTTGTTGGATTGATTTGATCATGTCCACTATCGCTGTAAATAAATATTCATAAAAATGGAGACTCTCACAGTGCTCCACGGTATGTGCCTATTAAAGACGGATTCCCTGTTCTCTTGAGCCCCTAGCTTTGCTGCACCATTAGTGGCATGGAACCTCATAGTAAGATGTGTCCCTGTATCTTTTGAACATGTCAAAGCCTTTGACTTAATGTCCATCCTTTAATCTCTCTCTGGGTTAGCTGGGGGTGGTGTTTATTCTACCAAGCAAGCACCATTTTGGGATCAAAACTCAGCTATACAATAATTGAAGAAACAAAAATGGAAAGAAACCTAACTTCCCTATCATATCTAATTACTCTACCATCCATATGATTCTCTTATTGTCAAATATGTGTTTGATGTTATATAGCCATTGGGTTGGCAATTCATCCCATCATGATGGAATTAATTAGTTCTCAACCTGTGGGTCGTGACTCCATTGAAGGCAGCACATCAGGTATCTCGAATATCAGATATTTATATTATGATTCATAACAGTAGCAAAATTACAGTAGTGAAATAACAATGAAGTAATTTTATGGTTTGGGGGGGTCACCACAACATGAGGAACTGCATTAAAGGGTCTCAGCATTAGGAAGGTTGAGAACCACTGTGCTACATCTAAAAGTACTTCAAGGCTAACCATGTGATAATTACATTGTTAGGTATTTCATTTCTATCTCATTGACAATAACCTTCTTTCTGATACAACACCAGAAATCACTGGAGATTAATTGGTTAATTATATTTTTAAATTCAGGAAATGTTCAAAGAATATAATATGAATATGCATCATTGAAAGATTGAAATATATCTTATTAAATAAATTAATTTATCTCAGATGCTTTAAATATGGAAAGATGATGAGCTCATGCAGCAATTACAACTTGTTTTATAAATACTGTATCTTCACAAAGATCAAAAAACACTCAGACCAAGGTATTTGAGACCAAAAATTGAGACTGATGCTAAAAGATTGAGAAATAGACTGAATTAAATTTGATGACATTCACTAAGATAAATGCAACATAGTATACTCAGAGATGATTAATCTCCACCACAAATGCAAAATGAAGTGCATTCTGCATGATGGTGTGGAGAAAAGAACAAAAATGAACAGTACACCCTGTATTGAAACCTAACATACTGAATTTACTTGGGTGGGCCTTTCCAAGGAGAACATAGTTGACATCTGTTAGCATTAGTATTTCTTTACTCTCAGGTGTTAAATATTCCGCAGGAAAGAAATTGGAGTTGGTTTCCATTACTGTAAAGCATACATATAGTATAACAAAAGACATTGGCATTTGCTTCAGAATTACTATTATTATCTCAATTAAATATCTCAGAAACCCTGTGTTATCCTACTTTCAACTAAAGCTTAGAAAAATGCATATATATTTTAGCTAAAATGTGATTATCTAAAAGAATTGCACTGAAATCATGATGATCCATTTTCTTTAGGGATGCAATTGTATGCAATTTTAAATTAATATATGGCAGTTACACAAGAATGGAATGAATATTTGTCAATGATTTATTACATTTTTAATGACAGAATCAATACAGGGGTAAGGCATTTTGAAAAGATGGCTATTTATAAGCATTTTAAAAAGCAATGCTAAAACAAGGCTTCTAGGTAGATACAAAACTAGACAATGTCCTAAGAACATTAGCTTTTGAAGTCATCTTTTTTTTTTTTTATCTTACCAAACAAAGTC